TATATATGTGTGTGTGTGTGTGTGTGTGTGTGTGTGTGTGTGTGTGTGTCTATGTATGTATGTATGTATGTATGACATTTAGACATGTGTGTGAGGGACACCTTCTACTAACGCAAACCATACCGTACGATGATAATATGCGTTGTACATATGCAAACAACCATGCTTGTGTGTACATATCTAGACCCTAGTACACTTCTGGATACATATTCCTTATCTACCTATTCATACGTATTCCTTATCTACCTATTCATACGTATTTCTTATCTACCTATTCATACGTATTCCTTATCTACCTATTCATACGTATTCCTTATCTACCTATTCATACGTATTTCTTATCTAGCTAATCGTACGTACTCCTTATCAACGTATTGATACGTCCTCTTTATGTACTGCAGGACTACTCCAATCCTTGTGTGAGAGATTTCTTTGATTTGCACAAACCGTACGACGACAGTGTGGATCGGTGGGCACAGTCGCGAATGCCATGGCACGATGTGGGGCTGGGTATGTACGGTCAATGCGCGAGAGATGTGGGCAGGCACTTCATTGACCGATGGAACCATGTCAAGGTAAATAACGTGTATATGTCTATGTATATATGTATTTTTTATGTATATGTAATGTATATGTAATGTTTATGTAATGTATATGTAATGTATATGTAATGTATATGTAATGTATATGTAATGTATATGTAATGTATATGTAATGTATATTAATGTATATGTAATGTATATGTAATGTATATGTAATGTATATGTAATGTATATGTAATGTATATGTAATGTATATGTAATGTATATGTAATGTATATGTATACGTATATATATATATATATATATATGTGTGTGTGTGTGTGTGTGTGTGTCTGTGAATGTGGCTGTGACTGTGGCTGTGGCTGTGACTGTGTTTACGTCTGTACATATCTATTAGAGTGTACTTTGACGTACCTGTATAGCCTGTTTGTGTGCGGGTGCTAGTACTGGCGATAAATGCAACACACAATCCATCGACCATCGTTACCATCAAGGTAGTCTTCCCACATTCCGTGCATCAGTGATCTGTGGTATGCATCTCGGTTTCCTTGCCTTCATAGCACACATTTAACACATAGCATAAGCACTGTGGTGTACTGTACTGTATATACGGTGCGCGTTGCTTGGTTCCCGGTATGTGTCTATAGGGTAAACCAACCCAAACCCTAAACCATGAACCCTAAACCCTATGGGTATCATAGATATATACATGCCATGCATGACTGCAGGTGGGTGCTTGTGTGGGATAAGTACCGAACATTTCGGTGCAAACTTCCTCTGTGGACGTATGTACCCGTGTTTCTTTCAGCTGGTATAGGCCTGGACATGTATACTGCTACGGCCAGTCGGTTAAACAACCACTGCCACTACCTTGAGGCAGTGCGTAGAATCCCGTGTTGTTTGTATCTAGACACACACATGTATCTGTGTGTGTGCTTCTGTATGTATACACATCTGTGTATGTGTGTGTGTGTGCTTCTGTATGTATACACATCTCTCTGTGTGTGTCTGTGTGTGATTTTGTGTGTATAGTGCCTGATAGGCGTACCCCGGTGGCGCATAGAGTGGTGTCTGTCTGGATATGCAGTCGTGTATGTCATTGATGCGGACTGTACACTGATGATACGATAACACCTTAACGCAATGACTTACAGGTCAACAGGTCTGTGTACTGGTGCTGGTGTACTGGTGCTGGTGTATATAGGGCATCAATGCAAGTCACGGGATCGTGTCTCGAACTGCATGACGTGTTTGGGTATTTATATTATATTTAATATATATATATATATATATATGCGTGTGTTTGTGTGCGTGCGCGCGTGTGTGCGTGTGTGTGTATCAGGTACATAAACTATTTCCTGTGAAATATGTTTGACTCGGTCAAACATTTGTATATTGAAAACAATGTATACAAATGCAGAGAACTTAACCAGAGACGCGCATCCTCCTTAACCGACCCAAACCTAATCGTTACATACTTTATTTATTTATTTCAATTACAATTCTGTGTGTTCGTTGCACCCGTTTGTCCAGGTTGTGAAGGCCAAAAAGGACAGTTCCATACCCTTCCTGGTCCCAAAACGCGATATGGGGGACGCCGAAAACAAGGACATTCGCAACAGGATACCCACAGCCATGGGAGTACCTTCACATCACATTCAGCCCAGCGACAAGGAAACGAAGCGCGCGGGAAGGCCCGAGACGGGTACGGGTAAGTGGACCCGCATGTCCGAGGCAGTGACGGTAGTACGTACTTTGTATGGTTGCCATGGTAACTATATATCTCTGGGTAGCAAGGCTGGAGTATTCCATCATCGCTCTCTCTCGCTCTGATTAATTATCACCTTCTGATAACGTAGTCCTATCCTACTCCCTGTGTGTGTTGTGATGAATCGTCAGCGTTCTGGGGTATAGGGAGACGATTGTCATGTGTGGCTGTCTCGTGCTATGTGTATAATGTCATGTATGGCTATCTTGTGATGATCATCTTTTCTATGTGTATGCTTCCATCTGACTTTATGTAGGTTTTTTGTTAGGTAGCAGTAGTGCCAGGATGTGTACCAGTGCTGCAGTCTGCACCTGCTCGTGTGTGTGTGCTTGTGTGCTTGTAAATGTATGTGCATCGATAGTATGAGAAGGGCAGGCGGCCGTCTGTGTGTCGACCAGGAGACTGCTTTGCAACGCCCGCTGACTTCTGATCGTATACTTACGCACTGTTATAGATGTGAGAGCATACGCACGGTTATAGATGTGAGAGCATCCGCAACTGTATGACTCATACCACGGCAGACATACTTGTTGTCACGCAATTGCCATTCATGACCATGCACCACCGCCTAGTAATCGTTTATTATATATGACTGTAGGTATATATTGATATATATATATGCATGTAAGCATGTATGTATGCATGTAGGCGAATATGTATGAATGTATGTATGTATGTTTGCATGTATGTATAAATATATGTACGTATGCATATGCATGTATGTATGAATATCTATACGTATGTATGTATGCATATATGTAAGAGTATATGTACGTATGTATGCATGTATGTATGGATATACGTAAGTATGTAAGTATGTATAAACACACCGCTTTATAATTGCATCTGTGTATGGACATATGTACTACACGCTGTCGGCCCATACCCGCAAACTGATGGTTTGAAATGAATTTCTATCCGTATCAATCCGCAGACGACCTAAGCATCGCGGGTGAACCCAGTCAAAATGCCACAGATGGACAAAATGCCACAGATTCGAGGAAGTCGCGCAAGCCGAAGACCGTTATCAAGCGCAGCAGCGAAGAGATTTTGGCGGGGTTGGGCATGGGCGATGAGTTTTTCCGAACAACCAATCAGATCCTGCGAAGCTGTTGTGAATGGTCCAATGGAATTCTCACAGAGCATTCGATTCAAAACGCTTACCTACAGGCTATCGCACACGCCAAGCATTACATATATATCGAGGTACGTTTATATGGACAGGGGTACGTTTATATGCCAAGTATTACATATATATCGAGATACGTTTATATGGACAGGGGTACGTTTATAAGCCAAGCATTACATATATATCGAGGTACGTTTACATGGCCAGGGGTACGTTTATATGCCAAACAATACATGTATATCGAGGTACGTTTATATGGACAGGGGTACGTTTATATGCCAAGTATTACATATATATCGAGGTACGTTTATATGCCAAGTATTACATATATCGAGGTACGTTTATATGGACAGGGGTACGTTTATAAGCCAAGCATTACATATATATCGAGATACGTTTACATGAACAGGGGTACGTTTATAAGCCAAGCATTACATATATATCGAGGTACGTTTATATGGACAGCGGTACGTTTATAAGCCATAAGCCAAGCATTACATATATATCGAGGTATGTTTATATGGACAGGGATATGTTTATATGCTAAGCATTACATGGACAGGGGTACGTTTGTAAGCCAAGCATTACATATGTTCATATGGACAGGGGTATGTTTATATGCTAAGCATTACATATTTATCAAGGTACCTTTGTACGGACATAGGTACGTGTATGCGCCAAGCATTACATGAATCGTGCTACGTTTATATGGAGAGAGGTACGTTTATAAGCCAAGCATTACATATATATCAAGGTACTTTAAATGATCAGAGGTACGTGTATGCGCCAAGCATGACATGAATCGAGGTACGTTTATATGGAGAGAGGTACGTTTATAAGCCAAGCATTACAATATATATCGAGGTACGTTTATACGCCAAGCATTCCATATATATCGAGGTATGTTTATATTGGTTTGGGTATGAGGGGGTGCAGTGTGCATATGGAGAGCCATACTTTTAAATGTTTAGTATTAAGATTAAATATATGGATATCTCGCCCCATACACCACCTATTCCTTCTATCCCGCCACACACAGAACCAGTTCTCTGTGACGGCCTTAACAGTCGATGGTCTGACCAGTAAGGTCATCAGATACACAGCCCATGCAATATATCTCACCCAATTCACAGTACATAACTCATTCGTTATATCTCACTCAATTTACCAAACACCACCCATCACTACTGTCTCTCCCCATATAGGCAACCCAATATTTTTTATAAGTACTATAGATGTGCTACAGGTGTATAAGTTTAACGCAAAATGGAACTGTAATCTGTATTGGTTACTCTATACGTCCTTATCTCGTCCCATACGCCACTCATTCTTTCTATCTTGCCACCCACAGAACCAGTTTTTTGTGACGTCCTTACCAGCCGATGGTGTGACTAATAAGATCGGAGACGCACTCTTTGACAAGATTGTGGAGTGTCACCGTGCGAACAAGAAGTTCCGCGTCTATGTGATCATGCCTTTGATGCCTGCTTTCGAGGGCGATTTCGGGCCGAATGCAACTTCCTTGCAGGTCCGTTGCATGGATATGTATTATGTTTGGTTTGTATATTAAGGACTAGGTATGTATGTGTGTGTGAAAGAATGTATTTATGTATCTAAAGTTTATATTTATCGAGGTTAGTATATATATAGTGTGCGTGTGTGTGTGTGTGTGTGTGTGTGTGTGCGTGTGTGTGTGTGTGTGTGTGTGTGTGTATTTGTATGTATAACTATATACCTGAGAATGTATATGAAATTCACGTCCTTTTTCTTCTTGTGCGTACGAAAATTAGTTGAAATTTATGCGGCGATGTTTGGTTTTTGGGTGTGATTTGGGGCCGAATGCAACTTCCTCGCAGGTTCGTTGTATACGTGTTTCCTTATTTTGTTTGTACATGTATTTCGAGGTATGCATAGCCACCCATTTTAAACCCTAAAATTCTCGACCCTGTGACCCAAACCCCAAAAACAGGTTGTGATGCACTGGCAGTACAAGTCAATCAACAGAGGTCCCGAATCGCTTTTGCAGCGCCTCAGTAGAGAAATTGGGGACTGGAAGCCCTACATTTCCTTTGCATGTATGTGTATGCATCTGATATATAGACCTAATTTTCATCGTGTTTCTATGTGTACGAATACCTTCTATAGACCGAATTTTTTATCATGGTAATCTATCTCGTCCGCCATTGAGATATCATCTTCATACATGGCTAGTGTGTACTATATAAACCTAAAACACTCGCAAACCAGTTTCCTTCTCGTTCCGTATATACACCACATTGTTGTTTGATCCTTTTGGATATATATATATATATATATGTGTGTGTGTGTGTGTGTGTGTGTGTGTGCGTGTGTGTGTGTGTGTGTGTGTAGTGTT